AATGCTGGCAAGGCTCCCACTGGAAGAAAATGCTGCAGAACTCTCTCCGATTTCATCATCCTCATCATCATATGTAAAGAAATTATTTTGTGCCTCGTCATCTTCATCATCAGGTGGAGGAGGAAACCATAGACGACCATTGTTTTCAAAATCCAATGGTTTTTGCTGCTTCTCAAACTGGTCTCGGTAAATGGACAAATTGTCAACACAGTTGTCAGCAGTCTCTGGATCCTCATTTCCTTTCTCAAGCCTTCCTAAAACAGTCGACGCTTCATGATCAAGGGGACCATCATTCCGAGACATTGAGGTCTCTTGTTGGTGCTGTACAGAATGCCCAACTCTATTGGAAATAAAACGAATCCTAGAGGGGCTTTTTGAAGGACTAGATCCAACTGATCTGAAACGGTAAAATTCATGTCTAGTACTAACACTACTTGATTCTATATCAGAAGTATCATGACAATAGTCACTTGATGGGCTAAAAGAATGATCCATGAAGTCCCCTCCTTCATCTTCGTCACTCCTACAATAATAAGCAAAAAGGTAAAGATTTCTTAGTTCAAGGAAGCAGCTTTGAAAACACAAGTTGAACATATGTTTGCAATCTCATAAAATCTATGTAGCTTCTGGTGATGGGTTATTTTTTTCCATAAAACCAGTAGGTTTTACTCAGTAGTCAAATTAACATATATGAAGTTTGTCTACTCTTTGTTCAATGTAGCTTGAGTGCTACCGAGTACGGTGGCAGGTGCCCAGTCAAGTTGCAGGATGAAAAGATTTGGGATGGGGAAACGATATTTGGAAGGTCGCACCATTGTTATGTTCTACATGATGTGGAAAAAGAGTACATAAAGATTTTTCAAGGAGTAAAGAAGCCCATATGGAGAATTAGAAGCTCTTTAGTGCTTGTAATTTTTTGTGTCCAAAAAAAAACAATCCCTTTTGTTCAGAAAGCTATATAGATTTGTCGGAAATTTAGTGATACAGCACGAATGTGAAGTTTTTGGCACCATTTTGGTGCGACGAAATGATCTTTTTACTTGCAAATAAGATAATAAAAAACTGAAAAAAACAGATAAAAGTTAACATCACGTGCCGAATATCTTGGAACAAGACTCTAGCCTTTACACATAAGATTTTTGCAACATCAGCTACTTTAAGCCAAGCCAAATCTTGGGATAGATCCAAATCTCTTTTTGAGAAAACAAAGTAAAACCAAGCTTTATACCCACAATTACGGAAACTAAAACACTAAATCAACAATTAGTTAACAGGTTGATCCTGCCATATTTGATGTTTCATTTAGTATATTAGCATACATGGAAAACACAAGATTTCACCCTGGAATAATTACAAGGAAATAAAGAAATCCAACAAATATTAAACCAGTTTGTTACCTGCTAGGCGAGTGACGCAAAGACACTGAAGATGGATGACTTGAAAAGGCTGTAAAACTACTCTTACTTGCATCATGTGGAGAATAACCATCAAATCTGTCACTACTGAAATCTGGTGACGGCGGTTCTGGGCTTTCTCTCGGAGATTCAGAAGGATAAACTTTGTCATTAAACTTCCTCGTGCTTTTATGACAATTGCTTAAGTCCAAACAAAATTTGCAAGTCTTGATATCAACCGCAGCCCTCACCAAGCTTTCTGATTCTCCTGATCCAGATGCAACAACATCCGAAGAGCCAAAAATGCGCACACAATCATTGCAGAATACTCGACTGCATCTTAAGCAATGGAACTTGAGGCAAGAATCAGTAAACATCATCTTGCATTCATAACAGGTTTTGCAACTGTCAACATCCATATCACGTCCGCCAGCCAATGAAGTTGGATCACTCGTACCCCACGATATCCAAGTCCTAACCTTCTCTATCAAATCCAGCAGTGAACTATCAGGTACTCCCATATACCAGAAATCACTCGCCAAGTATACCAATAATTGGCCTCAATTAGATAAGCCTGTCTACAACTCTTCTTCTCCTAATCTAAGAATTTTTGTAATCTGATTTCTTGGTGTTAAAAGAAGAAACTCTATCAAAATATAATGGAATCCATAATCCACAATAAAAATGGTGGATTCAGGGTTATATTTAATGTTTTTTTCTTTAAAAATGACACAAAAAGCAGTAAGCTTTTCCCCAGAAATCACTAAATATCCTTAAGGGGAGAACAGATTACAACAATCTATTTCACACTGAATTTTGATATATACAACCAAAATAGCTTGAAACTTATGACAACAAAAAGATTGAACCTTTGACCAATCTGTCGACTCAAACCTAAAACCCAACTCAACCAATCCCAGAATCATCAAGATTTGATCCCAAGATCAAATTTTTCATTAAAATCAAGATCAGATCCAGAGTTCAGCACCCAAATAACTACTGAACAAGACTCATATCAGATTCTGCAATTAAATCCTCTAAACCCCAGATAACAATATTTAGAGATAAATAAACAACCCCACCAAAAAAGGAAGAAACTTTTGCAACTTAGTGAGAAATTAAGAGAACCCCAGATCAAGAAACACAAGTATAAAGATTGTTTGGGTATAAAAATTGAAACTTTTTTAGCAAATACAGATTTGTGAGCTGATTATTTAGTCTGCCAAAACCCCAGAGAGAAATATTTAGAGATAAATAAACAACCCCACTTAAAAAGGAAGAAACTTTTTGAACTTCAGTGTGAAATAAGAGAACCCCAGATGAAGAAAACACAAGTATAACAATTATAGGTTAATGAAAAATTGAATCTTTGAAAAAGAAAAAAAGACAGAGATTTGTTGAGGTGATGAATTAAAGAACAAAGAGAATAAGAATGAAAAGGAGAAAAAGGAAGAGTACAGAGGAAGTGGTGGCTCTCATCTCCATGAACATAACATTCATCATCTGTTTCTTCAGCAAAAACATTATTTTCTCTCTCCTACCCATTTTTCCCGGCATTGCTTTTGCTGCTTTTAATTTCTCACTTCTCTTAACTTAAAAAATAACATTAAAATAATCATCTTCCCATTAAAATACATAACCCATAATTTGCATATTTATGCTGAAGATTTCAAATACACAGAACTACAAGATTAGTTCATGTATTTATCCATATTTCTTTTTCAATTCTCTCTCCAACTTTACTTTTTTCTTATCACTGTGCACTTTATCTTACATGTCATGAACATGAGACCTTTTGATTTTGACATTGTTTTTGTATATTTAATTGTTATTCTGATTATTTGTTTGGTATGTAGTTATAAGTCTATAGTCGTTATCACATAGTTGTCGTAAGATGGATAGAACCCCTACGTCCTTAAAATCTCGGGTCGCAACCTAAAAATAAAAATGAAATTCTTATTGTGTGCGAGTTTTTTTTAATTGGCCTTACGTAGTACAAATTTTAAATATATCAGGACTTCAAAAAAATACCGAACATCAAGTGAAAAAAGTGTATAGCCTGTAGTTAGAATGAGATTTATTAATAATGTTGGAGGGGTTTATTTATTATTTATTATTTATCATTTAGTTTGTTTGATATTTTTATTTTATTTTTATTTTTATTTTGGAATCTTTTCTTTAAAGAGTATTCAAGTTCTTGAGCTACTATTGGTCAGCAACAGCGTATGGAATGAAGTATTTGGCAGCTTAGTCAGCGACAGTATTAAGATAGGGAAAGACTTTTATTTTATTCATTCTTTTGTTTTGTTCTTTTTTTTTTTCTATTATCTTATGGTAAGTTTTTTTAATAAACTTTTCTTATGGTAAGTAATTCACAAGCTGCAACCACTCTCACAATACTAGAATACCTATTATATGGTATGTCATACAGTAGTAATATTAAGATATAAATATACCATTATGGTATTGAAAATTACATGATGACAACTAAGGTTTATAAAGAGAATTGTCTACAGGGAATATTTAGACCGCAGAAACTAAGGGGTCATTTGGTATGATGGATAGTAAAAATAATGTGAAATAAAAATTAAGTACCACCTTATTTTTTGTTTGGGTATTAATCCTAAGATAAGTTATCTCAAGATTAAACATAGTGTATGGGATCGAATTTGACCAATCACGTCCTACCGTCAACATGACCAACCACTGAATGTTTACGATACGATACGAAGGAACAACCCAGGGGTAACAGGAGGAACGACCTCGACCTGTCATCGGCTCCGCCATAGAGTACACTGATTTTGTCGTTCTCATGACTCAGCTTAGATCCCCATTATATAAAGGGGATCCGAGCCTTGTAATAGAGGGGACTGGAATAGAAAAAACTAATTCTCTCTCTGATCTTTATCATTCTCTCTCTGTGATCTTTATCATTCTCTCTCTCTCTTTTATCATTATTACTGTCTCGATTATTGAAACAATCTTAGGGTTTATTATCTTCGACTACGATTTACCCCTTCATCTCTTTGATTGATTTGCTTAAAAAGAGCTTAACATCTTTTGAGTCAAACAATTTGGCGCCGTCTGTGGGAATTTCTGTAGTCGAAATCATAGTTCTCACCTGGGATATCAAAAGCAACGATCTCTATCCTTCGCACTCCAGAGAAACCGGCGATCGCAGAGAAAGAAGCAAGGTTGAAGGCGATAGCGAATGTCTCAAACAACCTCTTGGACTCCCTCGACGAAGCCGGTAGAGAAGATACCGAGAATATAACACCAAGAGGTACACCGGAAGGGGAGATCTCACCATCTATACTCGAGGATCTGACAATCTTGCGCGAAAGAGGAACTTCGACGTCCACGGTGAAATAAACACCAGGAGCAGTCAAAAAGCTGTTAGAGGAGTGGTTGACAAGCGCTCTAAACACCATACTTGAAAAACCCCCTCAAGGAAATACCGGAGATTCGTCGACGGCGGAAATCGCTACCGTCGCCGGCGAGCCAAGCACTGTACGAACAAGCAACACCCGCACTATCACCGATGCAAGTGATGGTGCACTCGCGACCATCCTAAAGAAAATGGAAGAAATGTAAAACGAGAACAAAATGCTTCGTGACCAAATGAAAGAACACCAGGAAAGGGTTGACAAAATACCCGGCGCCCCTAAGCTGCTGCCAAAGCGCGATGTGGGAAGATTTGTCGAGCAACCGTACAGTGAGGAAGCTGCTCCCCACCCTATCCCGAAAACCTTCAAAATGCCACCATACTTGAAAATATACGACGGGACCACGGATCCAGAAGATCACCTGATTCATTATGTCACCGCGGTAAAAGGCAACGACTTGTCAAAAGAACAAGTGCCATCCGTGCTGTTGAAAAAGTTCGGTGAAACTTTGACAGTAGGAGCATTAACATGGTATTCTCAGCTACCAGCACGGTCGATATCAACATTCGAGGAGATGGCAGATAAATTCGCTACCGCTCACGCAGGAGCAAAGAAGGCTGAAGCTAGGGTCAACGACATCTTCGCCATCAGGCAAATGGCGGGCGAAGGACTTCGGGACTTCCTGGCCTGGTTTAACAGGGTAAGAATGGGACTGCCGAATGTATCGGAAGGAATGGCGGTCGCAGCCTTCCAGAACGGGCTAAGCAAAAGCGGGTCGAAGGCGACCAAGAAGTTACTCAACAGACTCATGAAGTACCCTCCCACCACATGGGAGGAGATCCATAATGCCTACTGCGCCGAAGTAAGAGCAGATGAAGACGATCTCAACGGTCCAACCCAGCGACTAACGTCAGTACAGTCCGAGATAAGGAGAGATCGACGCAACGACGGACGAAGGGATCAGCTCCTACGCTTCAACAGAGAAAGGCATCATCCCTATGTCAGAACTCCTAATCCACCTCCCCCGAGGCATACAGACGCCGTGTCACGACATATCGCGCCCCTTCGAAACGAAAGAGGTATGCCCCCATTATTTTCTGCTCATAACTTTTGTGTTTCCCCTTCAGAAATAGTGTACGCACTAGAGAAGCTGGGCACGAAGGTGCAATGGCCACAAAAGATGAAATCGGACCCAAGTGCAAGAAGGTCAAACGTACTCTGCGAATTCCATCAGGAAAGAGGACACAAGACCGAAGACTGCATAGGTTTACGACAGGAGGTGGTTAGAATGCTGAACCCGGGATACCTGAAAGAACTGCTCAGCGATAAAGGAAAGGCTAACTTCGCCAGAGGGCGTGACCCATCTCAAGGACCACCCAGGCCACCGTCACCGGCACGTACCATACAAATGATTATCGGTGGTGGCAACGACTCAGTTATCAACCACGTAAAGTCCACCACCACGCATAAGCTGAAGCGTACAATCACTCACGAACGGTATGATGGCTTTGAAGATAGTATCACCTTCGAAAAGTCAGATGCCGACGGTTTGTCTTTCCCTCATTATGATGCTTTAGTCATAACATTACGCATAGCTGACATAGATCTGAAAAGAGTCATGGTAGACGACGGAAGCGGCGCGTGTATTATCCACCCGAGTGTTCTCATGCGAATGAAGCTCGAGGAAAAGATTACCACGTTGCATAACACTAACGGGTTTTAATAATGAAGTACAGCGGACATCTGGAGAAATAACACTGCCGATCCTGGCTGGGGGAGTCACGCTGGAAACTATATTCCACGTCATGGACCAGGAAATCGCTTATAATGCTATCATAGGACGCCCATGGATACACGTCATGCGGGTCGTCCCCTCAAGCTTCTATCAGGTAATCAAGTTTCCCATCCCGTGGGGAATTTTCAGCATTTGAGGCGAGCCACGTACCGCCCATGAATGCTATAGGATCGCCCAAGATTGCACGCATACCAAACAGTTAAAAGAGGCAAGCGCGGAGGCATAGCAATCAACCATGTCGGGAGATAAAACCGACCCGCCATCAGAGATCATCATAGACCCCGACGTTGTAGAAGCTTGCAAGGCAACCATTGAAGATCTCGACTCGGTACACCTGGACGACGCTGAAATACAAAAAAGGCTTATATCAGACACAACCTCTTCGAGCCAGGTAAGTATCGTGAATTTTTTACTAACAATGCCGATCTATTTGCCTTCTCGCACTCAGATATGCCGGGGATCCTGAAAGACATCGCCACTCATAGGTTGAATGTCGATCTGATTTATTCGTCCGTGCGGCAGATGAGGAGGAAATTCAATGCCGCAATCAACGAGGCAGTCAGTGAAGAAGTGGACAAATTACTGGCTAACGGCTCCATCAGAGAATCGAAATACCCCCAATGGGTCGCTAATGCGGTCATGGTCAAGAAGAAAAACGGCAAGTAGAGAATGTGCGTGGACTTCACCGATCTGTACAAGGCATGTCCAAAAGATTCCTTTCCATTGCCCCATATCGACCAGCTGATCGACGCAACAGCGGGACACGAACTGCTGAGTTTCTTGGACGCCTACTCCGGCTACAACCAAATCCTAATGGCCGAGGAGGATCAATAGAAAACAACTTTCATCACCCACCAAGGGACTTACTGCTATAATGTGATGCCATTCGGACTCAAGAACGCGGAGGCCACATACCAGAGGTTAGTTACCAAGATGTTCAAGGAACAGCTCGGCAAGACAATGGAGGTCTATATCGATGACATGCTGGTGAAATCGACCAAGAAAGAAGACCATATCGGTCACTTGAATAAGCCTTCGAGATATTGAAGCGGTACGGGATGAAACTGAATCCGGAAAAATGCGCCTTCGGTGTAGCCTCAAAAAAATTTATGGGTTTCCTTGTGTCACAATGAGGCATCGAGGTCAACCCGGATCAGATCAAGGCCATAGACTCAATACCTGAGGTACTGAACAGCAAGAAACAAGTACAGAAGCTGACAGGGCGAATAACCGCCCTATCAAGGTTCATTTCACGATCCTCGGACAGGTGCCACAAGTTCTTCAATGTACTGAGAAAAGATCATGGACTACAATGGAACGAAGAATGCATCGACGCCCTGAGGAAACTGAAAGCATATCTATCCTCACCACCCCTGCCCGTCAAGGCAGACCCAGGCGAAAGTCTGCTCGTATATCTAGCGGTATCCGAAGTCGCCGTAAGCGCAGTCCTGGTCCGCAAAAATAAAGGTACACAATCCCCCATTTACTATATCAGCAAAACCTTAATAGATGCCGAAACAAGGTACCCACACCTTGAAAAACTGGCTCTGGCACTAGTCATAGCTTCGCGAAAGCTTAGACCCTACTTTCAATGTCACCCCATAAAGGTAATAACAACATTTCCCCTAAGGGGCATCCTGCATAAGCCTGAGCTCTCAGGCAGACTCGCCAAATGGGCCATAGAGCTCAGCGAGCACGACATAACGTATCACCCGCGAACTGCCATTAAGTCGCAGGTACTCGCCGACTTTGTCGCCGATTTCAGTGCAGAAATTTTGCCGGAAGCGGAACAAGAGGCCCTTCGTGCCTCCACTCTTACCGACCTTTGGACCCTCTATACTGACGGAGCCTCGAATGCCTCGGGATCGGGACTGGGACTCGTCCTCGAAGTCCCTACAGGCGAAGTAATTCGCCAGTCCATACGATGTCCCGAGATGACTAACAACGAGGCCGAGTACGAGGCTGTGGTTGCAGGTATGAAGTTAGCACTCAAATACGGAGCCCGGCGACTCATCCTCCACTGCGACTCTCAACTCGTCGTAAATCAAGTCACCGGGACTTTCCAAATTAAAGAACAAAGACTACAAAAGTATCAATCAGAGATCCACAAGCTGATGCCAGAATTCGACGAATGCCGCCTCGAGCAGATACCTAGGGCACAAAACATTGAAGCAGATGGCCTAGCCAAGCTAGCCGCAGCCACCAAAAATATCAACAAAGGAAACGTGGTCACTCTCCTCCATTCAACCATAGATCACGTCGAGGTATTCTCCTTGAACTTAACCTGGGACTGGCGCAACCGCTTTGTATCCTATCTGCAGGACGGAACACTCCCACAAGACAAAAAAGAAGCCAAGAAAATCCGAGTGCAAGTTGCCCGATACAGCCTGGTAAATCATGACCTCTACAAAAGAACGTTCGGCGGCCCCCTCAATAAATGCCTCGGACCCCACCAAACAAGACAAGTATTGGAGGAGGTGCACGAGGGCCATTGCGGCGCACACACTGGGAACCGTGCCCTCGTCCGATGCCTCATCCGCACCGGCTATTACTGGCTTACTATGGAAAAAGAAGCAACAGACTACGTCCGGAGATGCGAGCAGTGTCAAAAATACGCCCCCATGATACATCAAGCGGGAGAACTCCTCCATTCAGTCACTTCGCCATGGCCCTTCCTAAAATGGGGGATGGACATAATCGGCCCCCTGCCGGCTGGGCGAGGAAAGGTACGCTTCCTTTTAGTTTTAACTGACTATTTCTCTAAACGGGTGGAAGCAGGTGCGTACGCCCAAATACGCGAACAGGAGGTCATCGCTTTTATATGGAAAAATGTTATATGCCGCTTCGGCATCCCCAAAGAAATCAGCTGCGACAATGGGCCTCAGTTCGTCGGAAAGAAAACGATCGAGTTCTTCGAAAAATGGCACATCAAGCGGATACTCTCCACTCCATACCACCCAGCCGCCAACGGTCAAGCCGAATCTTCCAATAAAGTAATATTGAACACATTGAAAAAGAAGATCGAGGAAGCTAAAGGGTTATAGGCCCGAATTACTGCCTGAAGTAC